ACATCACAGGACGTATGTGGTGTGAGAGAGTACGTCACAGGACGTATGTGGTGTGAGAGAGTACATCACAGGACGTATGTGGTGTGAGAGTACATCACAGGACGTATGTGGTGTGAGAGAGTACATCACAGGACGTATGTGGTGTGAGAGAGTACATCACAGGACGTATGTGGTGTGTACAGTGAACTAGCCACTACCCTCCACACCATCTTATGATGGAATTTATAAAATCTGGGAATTTACAGAACCTGGGAATTTACAGTACCTGGGAATTTACAGAACCTAAGAATTTACAGAACCTGGTAATTTACAGTACCTGGGAATTTACAGAACCTAAGAATTTACAGAACCTGGGAATTTACAGTACCTGGGAATTTACAAAACCTAAGAATTTACAGAACCTGGGAAATTACAGTACCTGGGAATTTACAGAACCTAAGAATTTACAGAACCTGGTAATTTACAGTACCTGGGAATTTACAGTTCCTGGGAATTTACAGTACCTGGGAATTTACAGTACCTGGGAATTTACAAAACCTAAGAATTTACAGAACCTGGGAATTTACAGAACCTGGAATTTACAGAACCTAAGAATTTACAGAACCTGGTAATTTACAGTACTTGGGAATTTACAGAACCTAAGAATTTACAGAGCCTGGGAATTTACAGAACCTAAGAATTTACAGAGCCTGGGAATTTACAGTACCTGGGAATTTACAGTATCTGGGAATTTACAGAACCTAAGAATTTACAGAGCCTGGAATTTACAGTACCTGGGAATTTACAGAACCTGGGAATTTACAGTACCTGGGAATTTACAGTACCTGGAATTTACAGTACTGGGAATTTACAAAACCTAAGAATTTACAGAACCTGGGAATTTACAGAACCTGGGAATTTACAAGAACCTAAGAATTTACAGAACCTTGTAATTTACAGTACCTGGGAATTTACAGAACCTAAGAATTTACAGAGCCTGGGAAATTTACAGAACCTAAGAATTTACAGAGCCTGGGAATTTACAGTACCTGGGAATTTACAGTACCTGGGAATTTACAGAACCTAAGAATTTACAGAGCCTGGGAATTTACAGTACCTGGGAATTTACAGAACCTGGGAATTTACAGTACCTGGGAATTTACAGTACTTGGGAATTTACAGTACCTGGGAATTTACAAAACCTAAGAATTTACAGAACCTGGGAATTTACAGAACCTGGGAATTTACAGAACCTAAGAATTTACAGAACCTGGTAATTTACAGTACCTGGGAATTTACAGAACCTAAGAATTTACAGAGCCTGGGAATTTACAGAACCTAAGAATTTACAGAGCCTGGTAATTTACAGTACCTGGGAATTTACAGTACCTGGGAATTTACAGAACCTAAGAATTTACAGAGCCTGGGAATTTACAGTACCTGGGAATTTACAGAACCTGGGAATTTACAGTACCTGGGTATTTACAGTACCTGGTAATTTACAGTACCTGGGAATTTACAGTACCTGGGAATTTACAGTACCTGGGAATTTACAGTACCTGGGAATTTACAGAACCTAAGAATTTACAGAGCCTGGGAATTTTCAAAAACGTGGGAATTTACAGAGCTTGAGAATTTACAAAACCTGCCAATTTAGAGTACCTGGGAATTTATAGAGCCTGGGAATTTACAAAACCTGGGAAATTGCATAGCCTGAGAATTTACAGAACCTGGGAATTTAGAGTATCTGGGAATTAACAGAACCTGGGAATTTATAGAACCTGGGAATTTATAGAACCTGGGAATTTAGAGTGTCTGGGAATTAACAGAACCTGGGAATTTATAGAACCTGGGAATTTAGAGTGTCTGGGAATTAACAGAACCTGGGAATTTAGTGTCTGGGAATTTAGAGTGTCTGGGAATTAACAGAACCTGGGAATTTTAGAACCTGGGAATTTACAGTACTTGGGAATTTATAGAACCTGGGAATTTACAGTACTTGGGAATTTATAGAACCTGGGAATTTACAGTACTTGGGAATTTATAGAACCTGGGAATTTACAGAAAGTTTTAAAAGTTAGATCTATTAATGCCTCAGGTGACTACCTGACCATCTACTTGAAATAAAGATTATTATTATTATTATTAACCTTTACAGTCAGGTCACTCGTCGTTACGTGACTTTCTGACCTCCTCAGAGGTCAGGTCATAACCTACTGACCTCTGACCTGAGGCGGTCAACCTATTAACCGGTTTTTGTTGTGGTAGGATAATGGTTGTGGTGGTGGTACTTGTGGTGGTGATGGTGATAGTTGTGGGTGGTGGTGGTTGTGGTGGTGGTACTTGTGGTGGTGGTGGTGATGTTGTGGGTGGTGGTGGTTGTGGTGGTGGTTGTGGTGGTGGTTGTGGTGGTGGCACTTGTGGTGGTGATAGTTGTGGGTGGTGGTGATTGTGGTGGTGGTACTTGTGATGGTGGTGGTGATAGTTGTGGGTGTGTGGTGGTAGTTGTGGTGATGGTGGTGGTATTGTGGTGGTGGTGTGTGATAGTGGTGGGGTGGTGGTGGATTGTGGTGGTGGCACTTGTGGTGGTGGTGGTGATAGTTGTGGGTGGTAGTGGTGGTAGTTGTGGTGGGTGGTGGTGGTATTTGTGGTGGTGGTGGTGGACAGTTGTGGGTGGTAGTGGTGGTTGTTGTGGTGGGGGTGGTGGTGACAGTTGTGGGTGGTGGTGGTGGTAGTTGTGGTGGTGGTGGTGGTAGTTGTGGTGGTGGTGGACTGTGTGTGGGTGGTGGTGGTGGTAGTTGTGGTGGTGGTGGTGGTGGTAGTTGTGGTGGTGGTGTGACAGTTTTGGGGTGGTAGTGGTGGTGATAGTTGTGGGTGGTGGTGGTGGTAGTTGTGGTGATGGTGGTGGTACTTGTGGTGGTGGTGGTGACAGTTGTGGGTGGTAGTAGTGGTAGTTGTGGTGGTGGTGGTTGTGGTGGTGATGGTGGTACTTGTGGTGGTGGTGACAGTTGTGGGTGGTGTGTGGGTGGTAGTTGTGGTGATGGTGGTGGTAGTTGCGGTGGTGGTGGTGGCTGTTGTGGGTGGTGGTGGTAGTTGTGGTGGTGGGTACTTGTGGTGGTGGTGGTGACAGTTGTGTGTGGTGTGGGTGGTGGTAGTTGTGGTGGTGGTGGATACTTGTGGTAGTTGGTGTGGTGAAGTTGTGGGTGGTGGTGGTAGTTTGGGTGGTGGTGGTAGTAGTTGTGGGTGGTGTGTAGTCTATGGTGGTGGTGGTGTAGTTGTGGGTGGTGGTGTGGTGGTCTATGGTGGTGGTAGTATGGTGGTGGTGGTGGTGATAGTTTGTGGGTGGTGGTGGTGTAGTTGTGGGTGGTGGTGGTAGTTGCGGTTGTGGTAGTTATGGTGGTGGTGGTGGTAGTAATGGTTGGTGGTGATAGTTGTGGGTGATGGTGGTGGTAGTTGTGGGTGGTGGTGGTAGTTGTGGTGGTGGTAGTTATGGTGGTGGTGGTAGTTGTGGGTGGTGGTGGTGATAATTGTGGTGGTAGTTATGGTGGTGGTGGTGGTGATAGTTGTGGGTGGTGGTAGTTGTGTGGTGGTGGTAGTTCTGATGGTGGTGATAGTTGTGGGTGGTGGTGGTGGTAGTTGTGGGTGGTGGTAGTTGTGGTGGTGGTGGTAGTTATGGTGGTGGTGGTGTGGTAGTTATGGTGATAGTGGGGTAGTTGTGGGTGGCGGTGGTGGTAGTTTTGGTGGTGGTGGTAGTATGGTGGTGGTGGTGGTGATAGTTGTGGGTGGTGGGGGTAGTTGTGGTGGTGGTGGTGGTGGTGGTAGTTATGTTTGTGGTGGTGGTTATAGTTGTGGTGGTGGTGGTAGTTTATGGTGGTGGTGGTAGTTATGGTGATAGTGGTGGTAGTTGTGGGTGGCGGTGGTGGTAGTTGTGGTGGTGGTGGTAGTTATGGTGGTGGTGGTGGTGATAGTTGTGGGTGGTGGTGGTGGTAGTTGTGATGGTGGTGGTAGTTATGGTGGTGGTGGTGGTGATAGTTGTGGGTGGTGGTAGTTGTGATGGTGGTTGTAGTGGTGGTGGTTAACAGTAGCCGTTACCGTTTCCCGTTGCTACTACCGTTGCTGCGGCCAGAGCGCAGCGCGGCGCACCTCCACAGCAACAGAAAGAACAGTAACAACAACCCTAACAAAAACAGGAAAGGACACACCCAAAAAAGTGTGTTTGTTACAGCAGATTTCAAGGGAGGGGAGGGAAGGGGAGGGAAGGGGAGGAAGGGGAGGAAGGGGAGGGAAGGGGAGGGAATGGGAGGGGAAGAAGGGAGGGGAGGGGGTACAGGTGGGACCTCATACCCCCCTCCTTTCCCTCCGCTTAACCCCCACTTCCCCTCTTCTTTCATCCTGCATTAGCATTTAAAATAATAATAATAATAATAATAATAATAATAATTATTATTAGTATCATCACTATTAGTACAGTAGTGTAGTAGTAGTATCTTAATTATTATTAATTATTATTAAGTATTATTATTACGTATATTTTTGAAGTACTAAATGCTGTAGGGCAATCAAGTTTGGTATGAGGAAGGGGATGACAGCTCAACTTCCTCGGATCAAGAGCACTGTGATCAAGGTTGTTATAGGGAAAGATTAATGTTGTTTTGAGGGTAATTAAGGGCTCCCACGGCCGAAGCCGTACTGAGTTCTACCTTCTCCGGTCGAGATGATGCACTGACCGATTTAGGCTGAAAGGAAAAGGGAATGAACGTTGGGATAGGAGATATTAGAGAAATTTGGGTTGAAAAGTGAAGAGAGTGAGAGAAAGGTAGATGTATTCTCAAAAACTGGGGGGGGGGGAGTGTATACAGTTTTGGAGAGCTGAAGAGTTAATGACCGGCTTCCTTTCAAAGCCGCATAAAAATCCTCTACTTAATAAATATGGTGGTAGTGTTGGTAGTCTCAGCCATCATGTCCAACTGGCGAGGCAAGGAACGGGACAAGTGACTATAAAAACGAGTGTGGGAATTCACCATCTAGATGCAAGTCAGAGCGAGAGAGTGACACATGAGCAAGGCCGCCGCAGATGTGTTTAAGATGGCTGCACTGTAGCGCCTCGTCCACCAGCCTCCACGTAAACATCTGCTGGCAATTTACAGGTGTTTTAATTTACATTTACTTGGTAATACTTCTTCTAGGTGTTTTATATTTACCAGTCGGTCCCAGACCACTAATTCTGTCAATGTTTCAGACTTGTACATTCCGTTTTTACTGGCCCAACCTAGGCTGGTTGGGCAAGTATTTTTATTAGGAAGTTTGGTTTTGAGAAGGACTTGCCTAGTATGGACCAGTAGGCCTGCAATAGTGCTCGTTTCTTATGTTCTTACGTTAATTCACACCCACCCACTCGTGTACTTGTCTAATTTATTTTAAAAGCTACACAAGGTTTTAGCTTCAATTACCAGTGGCCCGTGACCTGGTGGCAAAAGCTCTCGCTTCACACGCTGAGTGTCCGGGTTCGATTCGTGGTGAAGGGTGGAAACATCGGACGTGTTTCCTTACACCGGTTGTCTATATTCACCATCAGTAAAATGGGTACCTGGGTGTTAGTGGACTGGTGTGGGTCGCATCCTGGGACAAAACTGACTTAATTTGGCCGAAATGCTCAGCATAACAAGCGGCTCTCTATATAGTAGTATGTTATTGATGTCAGCTATGGTCTGTATACCTTGTACATGTACTGGTAGTAAATAAAGATTATTATATTATTATTATGACGGTACTCGGGAACTTGCTCCACTCATCCACGACTCTATTACCAAACCAGTGCTTTCCTATATCCTCTCTAGACTTAAATTTTTCCAACTTGAACTCACTGCTGTGAGTCCTGTCTTAGATATTTTTTAGCACGTTATATCCCTCTCATTTATTCCTGTCTTCCCTTTGTACGCTTTAATCACATTACTCCATAATTCAACGCCTTTTGCAATAAGGAGGCCTGGTCACAGACTGGGCCGCGGGGGCGTTGACCCCCGGAACTCTCTCCAGGTAAATCTCCAGGTAATAAGTGCAGATTCAGAGTCTTCAGTCTGTCCGCGTAAGAAACATCTCTGATTCATGGGATCAACTTTGTCATTCTCCTCTTTATGTTTTCCAGCACATTTATGTTCATTCTGTAATATTAAGATCAGAACTGTGCAGTGTAAGGTGAACAATGTCTTACCAAACATATATAAAGTTGAAGTGTAACCTCAGGACTTCTATTATTTATACTTCTTAATATGAAGCCAAGAATTCTATTAACTTTATTGCTAAGATTTATGCACCGTTATCTTGGCTTTAGATTACTGTTAACCAGAACTCCTAAATCTTTCTTTCACTGTGATTGAGATCTACATTGTTCAGTTTATAACTGCCATAGTTATTTTATTTTCCCAGTAACAGAACCTTACATTTGTCTACATTAAACTAAATCTGTCACTTCTCCGACTACAAGAACAACCTATCTAGATCTTCCTGTAGCGCTCTGGTGTCTTCATCAGAATTAAACTGATGACCTATTTTAGTGTCATCGCTTATATAGCTATCTGTTCCCTCATCTAAGTCGTTTATGTATATTATGAACAACAAGGGGCCCAACACTGACCCCTGTGGAACAACACTGGTAATGGATCCCCACTCTGATTTCTCCTCATTTCTGTAACCTCTGTTGTGTATCTGTCAACGACGCCTCGATCCAGGAGATAATTTATCCAGATATTCCATGTGCTGCTACTTTCCTCAACAATATTCTGTGTGGTACTCTATCAAAGACTTCACTAAAATCTATATACCAATATCATATTCTTTATCTTGGTCTGTTGCTTTAAATACCTTAGTACAACAGGTATTTAAGACAGCAACGCCCCTTCGTAAAACCATGTTGAGAGTCTTTTATCAATTACATTTCTCTAAACAACTTTGAATTTCGTCAACATTTATTGATTCCATCAACTTTCCTGTAACTGAAGTTATGTTGATTGGTCTGTAGTCTGAGGTAACAACTTGTCTCCTGATTCGCAAGTAGGACATTATCCGGAACGATACCTGTTTGTAGTGCACAAATAACCTGCACATAGGAGAGAGAAGCTCATGGCGACGTTTCTCTTAGTAGTGATTAGATTAGATCAGATTTTGCCACCGAAATGGCTAGTTTATTGTGTACCTCATATCCATCCTGTGGATGGTAGTGGCTAGTTTATTGTGCACCTCATATCCATCCTGTGGATGGTAGTGGCTAGTTTATTGTGCACCTCATATCCATCCTGTGGATGGTAGTGGCTAGTTTATTGTGTACCTCATATCCATCCTGTGGATGGTAGTGGCTAGTTTATTGTGTACCTCATATCCATCCTGTGGATGGTAGTGGCTAGTTTATTGTGCACCTCATATCCATGCTATGGACGGTAGCACAAGAGCCTATGGATACACAAAAGGCCTAAGAACTAGGCCCCAGAAGGCTTAACAGGAGTACATCTGGATTTATATTTACAGTTCACTTATGTGTTACAAGCAAATTTAGTAGTGATTTGTTGAAGAGGATAAACAATGTTTACTAAGTTTCTCCTTAAGTTCCTTTATAATAAGTGAAGACAGTTGATCAAGGGCCAGTGACTTATTTAGTTTCAATATATTTAAGAACCAAGTCACTAGTGACGTTGATCTTGCATAATTAATTTTCTTATTAATCTAAAATTATTGATTCCTGGTATTTCATTTATTTCATCTTGTGTAGAAACTGAAAATAAGTGTTAAGAATGTTACACATTTTTTTTATCACTGACAATAAACTGACCTGAGTTATATTTAAGTCAGCTGATGTTTTCCTTAATCTTTTTCTTGTATACCTGAAAGAAATTTTCTGGGTTAGTTTTTGATTCCCTCACAATCTTAAGTTTATATTATTCATCGGTTTATTTCGTTTTTTACATGTCTCTTAAATGGAATACTATATTGTTTAACAAGGTGACTTTCACTTCTTCCAACTCGTTCGTAAATTTATCTCTTTTCTACCCAAGACATTTTTGAGTCTATCATTTACCCATTTAGTGTCAAGCTTGGCCAGCTTGGCCAGTTTGACCAGCTTGACCAGCTTGACCAGCTTGGCCAGCTTGACCAGCTTGGCCAGCTTGTACAAGGTCTTGGAGAATGTCGTGTTTACACCCACCACCTTCTATCATGTCTCACTCACAACAGTTGTTAAAAATGATATAAAATACCGACAAGTGCAACAGTTGGGTATTTTTATTGCTGAAACGTATCACCTACAGTCTTACACAGTAGACTTCTTCAGTCAAATACAGAGGCAGCAGCAGTAATACAATAAAGATGATATAATCTACTTACTGAGGCTCGCAGGACCCTATGTCTAGCTCTTATACCGTGTCATATGGACTACGCTTGTTCTTCATGGTACTCTGCCTTGACAAAAACTGAAAGATAGACTGCAAATCACCCAGAACAAAATCGTAAGATTCATCCTGGGGCTGGGACCAAGAGAACATGTAGGCCAGGATGAATTACAGCAGTTGGATATGCTGAATATTGAAGACAGAGTAAAACAACTGAAGCTAAATCATGTTTATAAAATTGCTCACGAACAGTGTCCAGAATATCTTGCTGTCAATTTTGTCAAGGTTGGGAACCAAAGCAATCATAGTACTAGGGGGAGAGAGCACAACTTTGTAGTACCCACAGTCAGTGGCCAGGCTTCAAAAACTTTTTTATTGTACAGCAATAAAGAAATGGAACAGACTGCCTGTACATGTCAAAGCCAGTCATAGCATGAACCAGTTTAAGAAGACTGCCAAAAGGTGTCTGATGAATGTAGCTACAGAAAGGGAGGGGAATGATTTTCTATTTTTTTAGCTAACACACGTGTAAATTTAAATAACTTATTTTACCTTATTCTTGGTATATCTCCTTTGTAGTATAATAATAAGATATTATCTCCTTTACGGTATAATGATAAGGCATTAATAGGACCCCAATGGAAATAAGCACTTGTTTTTTTTGGGTTACCGGGTTTCCAACCTTCCCTTTTTGGGAGAATTTTTCCCTTTTTTAAAAAATTTACCCCCCCTTTTTTTAAAAATTAAAAATTTTTTAAATTTCTTTAAAGGGGAACTATTAATTTAGTGATCTTTTAAAACAAAGCCAAAACCTTATTTGATAATTCTTTTCCCAAAAAGGGGACCTTTTTTTGTTTTTCCGGGGGTTTTTCCCCTGGACCTGCCGGGGCCCTTTGGGGTGCTTGCTTAAACCGGGGGGAGGTTTCCCCCCCCAAAACCTTGGTAGGCCCGGTGAATTAAAAGGTTTCCTTTAAAGCCCCAAAAATTGACCTTTTTAAAATTTTTTGGTTTTAAAATTTCCCCTTATTGTGCCCCCGCATTTTTTTCAGGGTTTTTCTGATTTTAAAACCCATTTTGCAAGTAAAAGGCGTTGGGGCCCCCAAAATTTATTTCCAGATATAAATACCATTGATTTTCTTTCCTCGTCATGAGTCATATCATAACCATTAAGGTCACTGTAATTTAAACGTTTTACTGGTTCAGCGATGGCCACTGAACGATCTATGTGTTTGTGTCCACCTGATATTTCTCTGCTTTTACCACTGGCCGTGCATTTGTATTATTACAAATATTCCAAATGAAGGCTTTGCCCACAGTTCAAACACTTGTTATAACACAGGTTTAGCACGTTGGTTTTCCATGTTATAAGTACTCCCAGTTGGAGACTGGTATAGCGCAGAGGTACACACATAGTATTACTCTGGTATACCAAGGATTTAGACTAGTTATTAACACAGTTTTGCCTAGTTAGTCTCCTGGATCGGTTGCTAAAAATTGTTAATAACACAGAAAAACATTTGGTCTTACTGAGGCCTTAAGACAGTAGCCACGATGACTTTAAGCAGTGCCAGGTGCATTTAAGAGTGTCAACGATGTGTCTTTATAGCAGTGCCATGATGCATTTAAGTGTCAAACTAGTGCTTTTCAAGAGTAGCCGACGAGTTCTGTTTAGAGTGAACAAGTGTCCTTTGTAACACCAGGTCATTGGCCTTTAAATACTTCACCATTGTCAAAAGTGATGTTAAGACTGATAACATCATGCACTACTGGTTACAGTGCTCCACTGACTGAGTGTACAGAAAGGGCACATGGTGTACAAATGCTTGGTACTACTGGATGTAAATATGCTGCTTATTGTGTACAGTCTGGCATCTACCTTTGTGAAACAGTGTGACTACTTGTACGTGCTGCAACTTAAGGTTGTAACAGTGCTGAGACATATGGTTTGTTACAGTTCTCTGGACATACTGGTTATACAGTGATATACTTGTGTACAGTTGTTGCTGTATACTGGTATACTATGCTGCAACTATGGTATAACAGGTTCCCCTAAAGGTACATTTGTACCTTGGTGTACCAGTCTTTTACATACTGGAGTACTGTTTCTGGCACTGTTGGTCTGTCCTGTACTACTGTTGTAAGCGGCCTGAGTCCATAAATGGTTGCTTAAGTCCTGGCCCTGAGTGAAAACTGTGCCCATATGAGAGTACAGTGCTGAGTCCCAACGGGTTTGTCGAGTGCTGCCACTATTTTACAGCTGCTGACTCACTGGTGTACAGTGCTGCATATGGTATACAGTGCTGGAAAACTACTTGTGTACAGTGCGTTACTACTGGTGTACAGTGCTGGCACTACTGGTTGTCATCTGACACTACTCGTGTACAGTGAGTACATATGTGACCAGTGCTGGCATTACTGGTGTACAGTGCCTGCACTACTTGTGTACAGTGTGTACTACTGGTTACAGGCAGTACACTGGTTTGTACAGTGCTGGCACTTACTGGTGTACCAGTGATGGTATACTGTTGTACAGTGCGGTACTACTGGGTTACGGGTGCTGGCACTACGTGTACATTGCTGTATACTGGTATACAGTGTAGTGTATACTGGTGTACAGTGTTGGTACATACTGGTGTACAGTGCTGGCATACTGGTGGTACAGTGTGCACTACTGGTGTACACGGTAGTACTAACTGGTGTACAGTGCTGGCACATTGGTTACAGTGTGTACTACAGTGGATACAGTGCTGGCACTACTGTGTACAGTGCTGGCACTTACTTTTGTACAGTGCTAGATACTGGTGTACAGTGCTGCACTTCTGGTTTACATGCTGGCACTACTGTGTACAGTGTCACTACTGGTGTACAGTGCTGGCACTACTGGTGTACAGTGCTGGCACTACTGGTGTACAGTGTTGTACTATGGTGTACAGTGCTGGCACTATTTGGTGAACAGTGCTGGCACTACTGTGTGTACAGTGCTGTACTACTGGTGTACAGTGTGACTACTGGTGTACAGTGCTGGCACTACTGGTGTACAGTGCTGGCACTACTGGTGTACAGTGCTGGTACTACTGGTGTACAGTGCTGGCACTACTGGTGTACAGTGCTAGTACTACTGGTATACAGTGCTGGCACTACTGGTGTACAGTGTTAGTACTACTGGTGTACAGTGCTGGCACTACTGGTGTACAGTGCTGGCACTACTGGTGTACAGTGCTGGTACTACTGGTGTACAGTGCTGGCACTACTGGTGTACAGTGCTATACTGCTGGCACTACTGGTGTACATGTGCATGAGTACTTACTGGTACAGTGTTACAGGGCAGTACTACTGGTGTACAGTGCTGGCACTACTGGTGTACAGTGTGGCACTACTGGTGTACAGTGCTGGACTGGGTCAGTGCTGTACTAGGGTGTACAGTGCTGGCACTACTGGTGTACAGTGCTGGCACTACTGGTGTACAGTGCTGGCACTACTGGTGTACAGTGCTGGCACTACTGGTGTACAGTGCTGGTATATGGTGTACAGTGGGGCAGTACTGGTGTACAGTGCTGGCACTACTGTGTACATGTGCTATGGTGTACTACTGGTGTACAGTGCTGGCACTACTGGTGTACAGTGCTAGTACTACTGGTTTGTACAGTGCTAGTACTACTGGTGTACAGTGCTGGCACTACTGGTGTACAGTGTTAGTACTACTGGTGTACAGTGCTGGCACTACGGGTGTCGTGCGGGCTACTGGGTACGTGCTGGCATACTACTGGTGTACAGTGCTAGTACTACTGGCAGTACAGTGCTGGCACTACGTGGACTCTGGTGCAGGCATAATGGGTACGTTGTACTACTGGTGTACAGTGCTGGCACTACTGGTGTACAGTGCTGGCACTACTGGTGTACAGTGCTGGCACTACTGGTGTACAGTGCTGGCACTACTGGTGTACAGTGCTAGTACTACTGGTGTACAGTGCTGGCACTACTGGTGTACAGTGCTGGCTACTACTGGTGTACAGTGCTAGTACTACTGGTGTACAGTGCTGGCACTACTGGATGTACAGTGCTGGCACTATGGTGTACTGTGCTGGACTACTGGTGTACAGTGCTGGCACTACTGGTGTACGGCTGGGCACTACTGGTGTACAGTGTTAGTACTGGTGTACATGCTAAGTACTACTGGTGTACAGTGCTGGCACTACTGGTGTACAGTGCTAGTACTACTGGTGTACAGTGCTAGTACTACTGGTGTACAGTGCTGGCACTACTGGGGGTACAGTGCAGGCACTACTGGGTACAGTGCTAGTACTACTGGTGTACATTTGCTGGCACTACTGGGTACAGTGCTAGTACTACTGGAAAACAGTGCTCGCACTACTGGTGTCAGTGCTGCACTACTGTGTACTAGTGATCTACTGGTGTACAGTGATTGGACACTACTGGTGTACAGTGCTGGCACTATGTACAGTGCTGGCACTTTGGTACAGTGCTGGCACTACTGGTGTACAGTGTAGTACTATGGTGTACAGTGTGGCACTACTGGTGTACAGTGCTAGTACTACTGGTGTACAGTGCAGTACTACTGGTGTACAGTGCTGGATAGTAGTACTACTGGTGTACAGTGCTGTCACTACTGGTGTACAGTCGTGCTGACTACGGGTTTGTACAGTGTTAGTACTACTGGTGTACAGTGTGGACTACTGGTGTACAGTGTTAGTACTACTGGTGTACAGTGCTAGTACTACTGGTGTACAGTGCTAGTACTACTGGTGTACAGTGTTAGTACTACTGGTGTACAGTGCTAGTACTACTGGTGTACAGTGCTAGTACTACTGGTGTACAGTGTTAGTACTACTGGTGTACAGTGATGTCATTTATGGTGTACAGTGCTAGTACTACTGGTGTACAGTGCTATTTACTACTGGGTACGTGTTTTTATGGTGAAGTGTAGTACTACTGGTTTAAGTGTAGTTCTGGTGTACAGTGTTAGTCACTACTGGTGTACAGTGTGTAGTAACTACTGGTGTACAGTGCTAGTACTACTGGTGTACAGTGTAGCCCTACTGGGTACAGTGTTGTACTACTGGTGTACAGTGTTTAGTACTACTGGTGTACAGTGCTAGAAACTACTGGTTTACAGTGCTAGTACTACTGGTGTACAGTGTTAGTACTACTGGTGTACAGTGCTAGTACTATGGTGTACAGTGCTAGTACTACTGGTGTACAGTGTTAGCCACTGGTGTACAGTGCTAGTACTACTGGTTTTACAGTGCTAGTATACTGGTTACAGTGTTAGACTACTGGTGTACAGTGTTAGTCCCTACTGGTGTACAGTGCTAGTACTACTGGTGTACAGTGCTAGTACTGTTACTGTGTAGTACTACTGGTGTACAGGTAGTACTACTGGTGTACAGTGCTAGTACTACTGGTGTACAGTGCTTGTACACTGTCGTGTTGTACAGGGTGCATTAGTATTTACTGGTGTACAGTGATAGTACTACTGGTGTACAGTGCTATTTACTACTTGGTGTACAGTGTTAGTACTACTGGTGTACAGTGTTAGTTACTACTGGTGTACAGTGTTAGTACTACTGGTGTACAGTGTTAGTCCCTACTGTGTTACAGTGTTATTTACTACTGGTGTACAGTGTTAGTACTATGGTGTACAGTGTTATTTACTACTGGTGTACAGTGTTAGTACTACTGGTGTACAGTGTTAGTACCTACTGGTGTACAGTGTTAGTACTACTGGTGTACAGTGTTAGTACACTGGTGTACAGTGCTAGTACTACGGGTTTGTACAGTGTTAGTACCACTGGTGTACAGTGTTAGTACTACTGGTGTACAGTGTTAGTACACTGGTGTACAGTGTTAGTATTTTACTGGTGTACAGTGTTAGTACTACTGGTGTACAGTGTTAGTACTACTGGTGTACAGTGCTAGTACTACTGGTGTACAGTGTTAGTACTCCCCTGGTGTACAGTGTTAGTACTACTGGTGTACAGTGTTAGTAACTGGTGTACAGTGTTAGTACTACTGGTTTAGTCAGTGCTAGTACTACTGGTGTACAGTGTTAGTACACTGGTGTACAGTGTTAGTACTACTGGTGTACTGTGTAGTACTACTGGTGTACAGTGTTAGTACTATGGTGTACAGTGTTAGTATATGGTGTACAGTGTTAGTACTATGGTGTACAGTGTTAGACTACTGGTGTACAGTGTAGTACTACTGGATTCCAGTGCTAGTACTACTGGTGTACAGTGCTAGTACTACTGGTGTACAGTGCTGGCACTACTGGTGTACAGTGCTAGTACTACTGGTGTACAGTGCTGGCACTACTGGTGTACAGTGCTAGTACTACTGATGCACAGTGCTGGCACTACTGGTGTACAGGGCTAGCACTACTGGTGTACAGTGCTGGCACTACTGGTGTACAGTGCTTGCACTACTGGTGTACAGGGCAAGTATTACTGGTGTACAGTGATGGTACTACTGGTGTACAGTGCTAGTACTATTGGTGTACAGTGTTAGTACTACTGGTGTACAGTGTTAGTACTACTGGTGTACAGTGTTAGTACTACTGGTGTACAGTGTTAGTACCACTGGTGTACAGTGTTAGTACTACTGGTGTACAGTGTTAGTACTACTGGTGTACAGTGTTAGTACTACTGGTGTACAGTGTTAGTACTACTGGTGTACAGTGTTAGTACCACTGGTGTACAGTGTTAGTACT